TAGTTTAGTATGGCATAAAAATGTCAAAAAACGTCATAGTATATTAAGGCATAAAAGTTCATAAAAACATCATAGTATGGTAAGAAATAAAACAAAATAGTATAGTAAGGCATAAAAATGCCAAAAAACGTCATTGTAGCCTATAGTATGGCATAAAAATGTCAAGAAATGTCATAGTATAGTATGGCATAAAAATGTCAAAAAAACATCATAGTATATTAAGGCATAAAAGGTCATAAAAACGTCATAGTATGGTAAGGCATCAACTGAAATTGTATTGGAAGGCATAAAAATGAAAAAAAGCGTCACAGTATAGTATGGCATAAAAATGTCAAAAAACGTCATAATATATTAAGGCATAAAAGGTCATTAAAATGTCATAGTATGGTATGGAATAAAATAACATAGTACAGTAACGCATAAAAATGCCAAAAAAGGTCATTGTATAATATGGCATAATAATGTCAAAAAACGTCATAGTATAATATGGCATAAAAATGTCAAAAAACATCATAGTATGTTAAGGAATAAAAGGTTATAAAAACGCATAGTATGGTAAGGCATCAAATGACAATATATTGGAAGGCATAAAAATGCCAAAAAACAACATAGTGTACTCAGGCATAAAAATGCCAAAAAACAACATAGTGTACTCAGGCATAAAAATGACATAGTATTGTAAGGCATAAAAAGGCATAAAAACAACATAGAATAGTAAGGCATAAAAGCAGCATAGTATAGTAAGGCAAAAAAAAGTCATAATACAACATAGTATAGTAAGGCATAAAAACGACATAATATAGTAAGGCACAAAAAGTCAAAAAAATGAGATGGTTTATTAAGTCATAAAAACTACATAGTATAGTAAGGCATAAAAATGACATAGTATTGTAAGGCATAAAACGTCAAAAAAACGACACAGTATAGTAAGGCATAAAAAGTCAAAAAAATGACATAGTATAGTAAGTCATAAAAACGACATGGTATATTTAGGCATAAAAACAACATAGTATAATAAGGCACAAAAAGTAAAAAAAATGAGATGGTTGATTAAGTCATAAAAACGACAGCATAGTAATGGCATAAAAACTGAAAAAAATGTCATAGTATAATAAGGCATAAAAAGTCATGGAATTCTCATAGTATGGTAAGGCATAAAAACAAATAGTATAGTAAGGCATAAAAAGTCATAAAAAAGCATAGTGTAATAAGACATAAAAACGACATAGTATAGTATGGCATAAAAAGTCAAACAAATGTCATAGTATAATAAGGCATAAAAAGTCATACAATTGTCATAGTATGGTAAGGCATAAAAACAAATTTTATAGTAAAGCATAAAAATGCATAAAAACAACATAGTGTAATATGGCATAAAAACGACATAGTATAGTATGGCATAAAAATTCAAAAAAATGTCATAGTATAATTAGGCATAAAAGCTCATAAAATTGTCATAGTATGGTAAGGCATGACAACAATTAGTATAGTAAGGCATAAAAAGTAATAAAACAGCATAGTGTAATAAGGCATAAAAACGACAGTGTAGTATGGCCTAAAAAGTAAAAAAAATGTCATAGTATAATACGACATAAAAACTCACAAAATTGTCATAGTATGGTATGGCATAAAAATGACATAGTATAGTAAGGCATAAAAATGCATAAAAACAACATCATGTAATAAGGCATAAAAATGACATAGTATAGTAAGGCATAAAAATGCATAAAAACAACATCGTGTAATAAGGCATAAAAATGACATAGTATTGTAAGGCATAAAAAGGCGTAAAAACAACATAGAATAGTAAGGCATAAAAACAACATAGTATAATAAGGCAAAAAAAAGTCATAAAACAACATAGTATAGAAAGGCATGAAAACGACATAGTATAGTAAGGCATAAAAACGATATCGTATAATAAGGCATAAAATGTCATTAAACAACATAGTATAGTAAGGCATAAAAACAACATAGTATAGCATGGCACTAAAAGTCCAAAAAATGTCATAATATAATAAGGCATTAAAAGTCATAAAAATGTCATAGTATAGTAAGGCATGAGAACAACATAGTATAGTAAGGCTTAAAAATGACATAGTATAGTAAGTCATAAAAACAACATGGTATATTTAGGCATAAAAACGACATAGTATAGTAAGGCATAAAATGTCATTAAACAACATAGTATAGTAAGGCATAAAAACGACATTGTATAGTATGGCATAAAAAGTCAAAAAAATGTCATGGTATAAATGGCATAAAAAGTCATAAAAATGTCATAGTATAGTAAGGCATAAAAACGATATCGTATAATAAGGCATAAAATGTCATTAAACAACATAGTATAGTAAGGCATAAAAACGACATAGTATAGCATGGCACTAAAAGTCCAAAAAATGTCATAATATAATAAGGCATAAAAAGTCATAAAAATGTCATAGTATAGTAAGGCATGAGAACAACGTAGTATAGTAAAATGACGCATAACAAAGTCATAGTATAGTAAGGCATAAAATGTCATAGTATAGTAAGGCATAAAAAGTCATAAAAATGTGACAGTATTCTAAAGCATAAAAAGTCATAGTATAGTAATGCATAAAAACATCATAGTACTAATATATTAGGCAAAGAAAATCAAAGACAATATATCATAAACTGTGCGTATTTGTCATTACCATTTAATTTTTTTCTTTGTATTATGTTGAAATATGGCTCTCCTCATTGAAAAAGTGAGTATAGTTAGAATATGGGCGTGAGATAATCACAGAATGAGCTATAACCCACAATGTGCCAAAACTCCAGGGAGCGTAAAGTGATGCCAAAACATCACACATTTCTATAGTTCCAAGTCATCACAGAAATCATAAATACCTGTTGTGTGATGCCAAGTCAACACAGAAATGTATAGTGTCAATTTAGAAAGACAAATAGTTGTTGCATTAAAAAGAAACATTGAAATACATGTCGAAGTACAATAGAATAGAATAAAAATTCTACACCAGAAAGGTACAGTACAGTATGGTCAGATATATCCTATATATAGGACTCAAGTGTTACAATACATGTTGCTGTTTGGATCAGCAATGGGAAAAAACATTTTTTAACATGCCCTAGCATCTCATTGCTTTGTTCCTGCAACCAGACAAGCAGAACAAAGATGCAATGTGGTGGGTGGGCTGAGTCTGAAGTGATTGTTCTGACTTTGTGTATGACTATTCTGATGCATGAATACATTTATGTGAGATGTGGATGGGGCAAAAGGTTGGGTTCAGTTATATTCCACCATACAGTAGGTGGTGGTGAGATTGCACTCGTGTGTTAGCAGCTTAAGGAGAGTTCCATTAGACAAGCCTATGCAAGTCTACGTTATATAACAATGTCCAACAAGATATCTCTTCCACATATTTAGCAGCAACCTCACTACAGGTCATCAGGGGAAGTAAAGGCTGGTAGACCTTGAAATGGAGTGGACACAAAATCCCTTGCTTTTAATGTTAAGTTTTACCTTTCCTTACACCAGTAAGTTAAATGGGAAGTTGTTTAGGGTCTGCAGAAATGGGCTTCAGATGTCACTCTGTGTGGCCCTGGTGTTGGTGGTGACACTGTTGATGTGTCAGTCAATTGGTGAGGAAGTCATGAATCCTGTGAATGAGGTCAGACTGCACATTCAGGCTGTGGACTTTGGTGATCATTTACTGCTACAGGGCTGTGTTGAAGGCTGAGCTGAGATTGATGAAAGGTATGCTATAATTGTCCTGATGGTTCCATGTTTTGTAACACAGTGTGAAGGACACATTACTGCCCCTATGTGCCTTGGAGGCACGCTGTAAGGCATTTAATCTAGGAGCAGTTCCTTAAGGGGAGTTTGTGTCAAAGTCAGCACCCTGGGTTTTGAGCACAGGGTCTGTTATGGAGGTCCTCTATTGTGTAGTAACCTTTGCTCATTGTACAGATTTTATGAACAGATGATGTAAAATAGGCTGAACTTGAGTTGTCTGGGCCCTCTGTGTCTTGTTTGGCTTGCACCTACTGAGCATCAGACAAAAGTCATGTGGCAACGTTGAAATCTCAGAGATATGTATGAAAAGTAAAAAGTCTGTAGTATCAAAATGGATTCATCAAGTTTTGAGACACTCTATGAAAGTAACAGCTAGTTCTGTTTTAATCAATTGTACCATGCAAATCATACTAACAGTCTAATTATTTTACAGGAAGTCTTATGCCAATCACAATTTAAAAATTTGGCCAATGTCTTTTGCATATGTTTACTGAATAGTTTACAAAAGCACTTGCTTAACAAATCAAATGAAGGTACAATAAACTATGTGTAGGGATGACACAAGAATTAGTAACAAGGTAGAATTTTCTATATCAAACTCGACAGTACAGCCTTTACCCTCCAAAAAACATAGTTCTTCAACTGAGGAGGGAAAAGGGAAGGAGAGAGTTAAAACATGAGTCATTTGATCAAGATCCAATCTTGCCAATGCATTAGCCTACGACTACGGAGGTTTTAGTAGAAGCATGAAATGATACAAGCAAGGAAGTGGAGACAGGACTAAAGGATGCAATATAGACAGGGGGTTGTGGTATGGGTGAAGCACACAGCCTGTGTCCGACTCAGAGACCCTCTTGAGTAAGGCTGACTCAGCCTTACTGTTCTGGGTGCATATGTGTTTGTGCGTGCCATATGTGTTTGTGCGTGCATGTGACAGCAGTTATCGCCCCCCCACCCCCCACCCCATTCCATTCTATCTCCTCCTCTCACTCACTCTCCTCATCTCTACCTCTGCAGTACCTCTCTTGCTCATTCTTCCCTGTGCCGGCTGGGGAGACACGCGTTTTCTGCTTTTCTGCCTGGCTGCTGGCTCTCCTCCAGCAGCCCTGTGTGCCTCTTGTGTGCTCTCCTCCCCCCTCCAGCCTATGTCTCCCCCTGAGGGGTTTGTTGGCCAGCCTGCTTCCCTGGCTGTTGCTGCTGCTGCTGCTGCTGCTTCTGGAGCAGTGGAGCTGTCTGACACTACGCCGCTACGCCGCTCCTGCTCTGCCTCGCTTCTCCTCTCTGCCTTTCGCCTCACACTCTGCTTTGCTGGATAATCAGCCACTGAGTCTGCCAAAGACAGCGACAGAGGACAGGAAGGGAGGGAGGCAGAAAGACAGAGAGCCTGTACTCTTCATTCAGCTGCTGCATTCTTCTGTCTTTTCCTTCGTTTTCCTTGGCTGCCAGAGTGCAGTGCAGGGAACGACTGAACGGGAGAGGGCTCCCTGAAGGAATCTATCCTCCCCTCTTTGCACTTCCTCCCGCTGTTCATTCCTGGGACAGAGTGCAGAAGAGAAGAGGGAGGGACTGGGAGCGGGACTTCAGACTCTGCCTTCAGCTGCACAGCTCAGTGTCCCACCTTGCTCCAGAGACACATGAGACAAACACACAGAGACACACGCACATTCACATTAGATTAGACACGGCTCAAGCTGACCAGACTAGCAGAAAGGGGGACAGATTGACAAAGACACACAATATATAAATACAGAGACACAGACAAGACCACAGACAGACAGACAGACAGGGGGTGTCATGGCGTCAGTGGACAGCACCGGTTCGAGTGTCTCTGGTCGGCTGAGATCAGGGGATCTACTACATGCTGGTCTGGCAGTTGCACTGCTGCTCGGTGAGTTATACTTCTCTCTATAGCTTAAGCTGCCCTGTCATTCCTCACTCTTCCACTATATGTCTACATTACACCAGAATATTGTTCTTCTATGCCTCTGTTAAATGCTTTCATGTCAGCTCGTGGTTGGGTGAATCCTTTTAATTGTCTTCACATTTAAACTAGTTTCTGTGTCCTCTACACCTTCCTATTTTGCTCCCTTTATTTCAGTGTTTTTTTATGCCCATCTCAGTGGGTGGCTCATTGCTGTCATGGTAAATCCATAGCTTTATATTTTTTTATTGCTCCATACAAACATCTGCTGTTCTCTGCTTCAACTCTCCTGCCTCATCATTCGCTTTCCACACCTGAAGGCTAAAATGTGTGGTGATGTCACAGCTGATGTTTACTTGTTGCTGTACTGAGGGCATCAAGGTCAATAACATCCAACCCTCAGCCGATCTGAACTTGGACATGTTAGATATCTGGTTGCTGAGCTGGATTTCTCTTTATGGATGCACTTAATGAGGTGCCTCTTTCAAGGGGAAGACGAATAAAACTGAGAGAATATAATGCAGAAAAACTTTTGGTTTGAATGTACATAAAAATATATTTGTTGGAGCTACATTCCGCGTACATGTGTGTGCGTGCGTATGTGTGGTGGTACTATTACTGCTAGTGACGTAGTGGTGCAGTGGTGATCTGTGCTTTTGCTCATACACTCCCTGATTTTGTTGTAGTGCCCAATAGTGCCCCCACATCACAAAATTTCTTCCTTGAGCCCAGTTGTTTTAAAACTCAGCACAGTTCACAGTTGAGCTTTATGGCACAAAAACAAGATCAACGGGAGTATGTGAGGTACTTCATTTCAGTGCCACCCTTAGGTGAATTACATCATATTATGATATTTCAGTGATAGAATTAACCTCAAATGAAACAAAATAGCTTCTTTTTGAATTGTTCACTGCCACATTTTTCCACAAATATTTAGCCACAGCTACCAGTAAAATTCCCATTGTTTATGTTGTCCAAACAGGACATTAAGAAACCAGTTATGCCCCACATCAAAGCAATTAAGATGGATAAAAGTCCTTAGGGTTACACATTGGTCAAAGGAAGGTCTAGATAACAGATCACTGAGCATTTTCAGGAGTAACTCCCACCAAAGCAGCATTTGTCACAATGGCCTCCGGTAAGACCCGTCTGTCTGCAGCTTATCACACACTAAATGCTTGTACAACCCTCACATGAGGAAAAATCTGCTTGCTTTTTAAGGATTAAACATTAATGATGGGCATGTAAAATAAGACAAATGTTTACCATGAAATATTTATTCAGCAAAGACAGAAAAATACATAGGATGTGGGCACCAGGTCGTACACAGAGAAAAGTGCAGGAAAAGTGCAAAATCCAACACCATCTTGTCATTTTCTGTGCCATTTTGACATTATGCTTTATTTAGGATGGGTAAAACCATTATGTTGAAATGTCAGTAGCACTTATCTTGAAATGTCAGTTAATAAAATATCATACATACAAGAATATGAGGCATTATTTTTTAAACTATGAGAAAAATAGCTTTTCAGTCGATCGTGTTTTGCGATTGGCTGCAGAGCACGACTTTAGACTATGCTGACCTCATATTATAAGCAGTATGAGCGGTGTTTATTCAAAAGCTATTAAAAAGATGTGCATGACAGTACTTTTAAACCCTAATGTAAAATGCAACTTTAGTTCCTGTCAGTGTTTTTCTTCCCAAAGCATCTTACTACAGTTGCATGTTGAAAAAAATAGGCATTGATATTTATATTATTTATATATATTCCATTCCCAACAGCTATTAAAAAGTACAAAAATAATAAAAGTGATGATAAAAATTTACAATTACTGATGGATAAACGCAGCATGCACTCAAGGTGAGAAAAATGTAATGTAAGTCATACCAAGGGTCAGTTTTATGAAGCTTGTAATCCTGAGCAGGTCAATCTACATTGGTCCATGTTCCAGATTTTAGGGTTTACTGGATATTATTCAGCAAATTCTGCCACACCAAAATTTGTTTTTTGAAAATTATGTGTTAGTATACTGTCTAGTTGTCAATCTGTGTCTTTAGTTGTGTTGTTTGCCCCTTGGGATAGTTGCTGTTGTAATTAGTAGGTCACCATTTATTTTCGACTTAATTGCAGCAAGGTCTGGTAAATTCTGATGCATTCGATCCAGCTGAGGCAAGTTAATAAAATCTCATTTCAAAGGTAAAAAAACAAACACAAATCCAGAAAGTTAAAAGATGTCACAGTCCTGTATAGTAACAGGGGTTTATTTTAAGCTGGTCAAAGAAGGTATAACAAAGCTAAATTAATAAATAAGAGTTTAGTCACTGGTGTGAAAGTTACCAGTCTCCGGTGTCCTGATTGTGTTTTACAGGAACACACTCAGCACCAGATCCAAAAACAATCCAGGTCCCAGTGGCAGCACCTGTGGTGCCTTCCTTACTGTCAATCAGTTATCATCATTCCCTTGTTTTTGTGTTGATCTTCTTAAGACGGTTGACCAAACTAATACTGAACACCATCAAATATGCTATGGCAGCCATCTTGGGGCATCAATCAAATAACTATTCATTATCTCTGATTTGTTTTATGTACTGTCATTCCAGTCTTTGCAGTTCTTTTTTTGCAGTTTGTTACTTAATTATCATGTCCACTATGTTATGCTGTCATGATGAATTCCAATCACTATTCAAGACCTCCAGTTTATCACTGCTGTGGCACTCTCCAGTATTATAGCACTTAACATCACTCTCTGTTCTTCATATCCTATTCTGCAATGTCCTATATTCTATTTTAGACAGCATATGGTTATTTATCTGTATATACACATTACACATCTGTTGACATTTCATGCCTGCATAGAAATGCACAACTGATTCTCTTCTTGAATTATTTTCCTAGACTTCTATAATCTTTGCCAGAAACACTGCAGCAATCTCTCTCAACAGACCCTTTGGCAACAGAAATGAAGCCAGGAAAAAACACGAGTGAAACAAAGTCCCATTTAAAGCTAGATGTGGAATAAAAGGAAAATACACTGAAAATCGGCAATTTTTCATTTATTACTGAAAGTTCTGCCTTTTAAACTACTTAACAATAAACCCTTTCATTGCAGTAATTTACAGCTGCCACAACAATTAGAGATATGATACATGTATGTGAAAAATAACCATAACTTGCCACATCCAAAGACCAAGATTATGACCTTGGAACTATTGTTCATCCTCAAAGTATCACTCCTTATTTGCATTAGACATGTAGAGATGTCGATGACGTCACAAACCCTCATTATAACAGATCCCCCTCAGAAAACAAAGATCTGCAATCCAAAAAGATCTGAGACATGCAAACGCACAGAAAAACTGTCACTTCAACCCTGACATAAAACTACTGTAATATTCTCCACCTTCCCTAGCCTCACTCCTTGTTGCCATATGTTAATATAATGGCTTGTGCAGCAGAGAATAAACAACAAACAACAGATAAAGTAGGAGCTGTGGTACAAAGAGCAATGAGGCAAACAGTTGTAGAGCAGTCCAGGTTGTAACTCAGCAAATGCCAGTAATATTTTGCCAGTAGCTGGCATGTAGATGTGGTCATCATGTTGTTACCTGTTTATGTGGGGATCATATTACGTAAGTGTGTATCCGTATGTGTATGCGCAGTGTGAACGTGACCCCCACCCTCTCCACCAACACCCGCAGCTCTGTCGATTGAGTTACTCAGCTGCTGTTGTAATTCTCTGCCCTGCTGTCACTCATTCACCTTGGAGAGGACATCTCACTTCCTCTACCTCTCCCTATCCATCCCTGTGTTCTTCCCTAGTGACCCCCCTCCATCACTTCCTACACATTCTGCCTCCTCCGTTACACTTGCCCCCCCATTCATCTCTCTTCTATTCTCCTCCTCCCTTCTCCCCCAACCCTCCCATCACTTCTCCCTCCCTCTCTCTCTCTCTCTCTCTCTCTCTCTCTCTCTCTGCCTCCCTTTCTTCTCTCATAGAGGTAATAGTGTCCTCGTCAGTTCTCTATGGGTTCAACTCAGAAATACATTAACCCCTCAATCTCTGGCCTACTTATCAAAAAAAAAAGAAACACCTCACCTTGACAGTCAGCCAAGGACAAACAGGCACACACACACACACAGTCAGTTGCCTTTTCGCCCATCAGTGATTCAGATATTGATGTTTCCCAAATGGGACAAAGAGATATTTGATAGTTGAGCTAAAAATATCAGACATTCCAACCTATTCCTCATGTTAGACATACACAAACACACACACACACACACACACACACACACACACACACACACACACACACACACACACACACACACACACAAACACACACACACACACACAAGTACATGCACACACATACAAAGACAACCATGCATACACATTACTGGAGCATGTGAATCTGTGGGTTTTGTCAGGATAAACTGTAAAGATAGAAGAAGAGCAGAGAAGAGGAAGAGGAAGGGGGCGGAGAGAAAAGGGATAGTAGAGAGAAGAGGTGTGAAACGAGGGAGGTGTGAAATCTATTTCTAGGCATGGGGGGGGGTTCCTCTCAGATATGTAAAAGATCATCATGCACTTGGTCACTAACCTTGCTCACTGGCATTGTTCCACTAATTATGGACAGAGGGCAAAACATTCATTACTTTACTTTGCTCAGAGTTTAGAAGGCACTGAAAGGATTCCAGCAAGCAGCCAGCTACAGGAAACATCTCAACCCTCTGAGCTGTCACTGAAACAACCACTGTCCCACAGAAAATAAATAAATAAACACAAACATGCACAGTGGCTCCTCACATCTCTCCTCTTCTTATTTAGTTGTAGCGTCCCAGAGGAACAAGTTCTCAGAGCAAGAGAGACAGAAAAATTGAGTAGAAGGAGAGAGAGAGAGAGTGCCCAGTGCTGCGAAAAAAAAAAAAAAAGCATAGTAAGAGCCCATTAAAAGAGAGCAGAACCAGAAACAGAAAAGAACAAGCAGAACCCAAGTGGCCTCGGTTGATGCTGAAAGTAGAGGAGACAAGTCTAGATGACAACATAGGAGAGGTAAAAATATCAGATTTTAGAAGATGAGAGGAAGGGGTGAGACTGAGGAGACGCAGGAGACGCAGGACCAAATTCAGGAAAATGATGAAAAAGAAAAAGTACAGCCAAACACACTGATAGCCTTTTTACCATGTACTTTTAATAGAACATTTAGAGATTTAACACTTAAGTGCCACATCAAATTGTATTTACTGGAAAACTGTAAAATATCTACCAGGGATAAACAATGTACTGTATATACTCAGCATTTGGGCATTATAAAGTTGAGTGAGAATGAAAGTTACCGTAAATTGTTTTTGAGGCTGTATGTACAGTACAGGTAATCTCTGAGATCTGGTTGTCTTCGACCATTTCTCTGTTAATCACCAAATCCTCAAGGATTGATTTAGCAATGAACTTGATGACCAAGTCAGGGATGGCTGCACACACAAATTTGAATTTACAGATTTGCATGTGTGTGTGTGTTTGTGTATGTGTGTATTTGAAACATACCTGGTACTGTTATAACCTGAGATTATACAAAATTATAACAGCTGTGTTATAATGATACAATTTCTCTACCATTTGCTTGCTTCTAAGTGGTCAAACCATATTCATCACCCTTACCATAAGACATTTATTTTGATAGAACAACACCCCGAGTCTGCTACACACTGCAGTAAATTATAAATAACTACTTTTTGAGCTAGCTCAGTTAGCCCAGTTTTTGCTCCAACATACTGGTTCCTTGGTTTAGGTCCCAACTCGCAACCATCTTGACATTGGAAATGTTTTTTCAATTTTATATATATGCTTGAATGGGAAAGTGGTCTCAGACTTTTGGACCCCACTGTATATATATTTTAGTATCCACAGTTGCACTTGGCAATATGCCACATAATCACAGTAACTTCAATTTACCTATTTTAGAATGTCAAAAAAAAGGCTGAAAATGTCAATTTATCCCACTTTTAAAGTGAGTGACCCCAGCTGATTAGTGTGTCCAGAGCATTTAACACCTAACCTGCAACAGTAAACAGTGATTTCACCCAAAATGACCAGAGGGATTACACTGTTGTCTTCACACGCAGGTGGTGCGAAATTCTTATATAGTTGTAAGTCCTTCAGAAACACATAGGCATACATGTCCTCTAATGCTGTTTGCACCATGTCCAAGTGCAATGCGATCCTGAGCAGGTCAGTGTGGAGGAGAGCATTTATAAATAGGCCCCAAGTGTGTGAGCGACACCAGAGCAACAATCTGGGAATTACACCAGCTGGCATTGCAAAACCAACATAACCCGCCCAGCAAGACCCAAATACCAATACAAGACATGCTGTCACTCTTTTGGAAATTAAACACTTTCTATGTGTTTTCTGCTTTGCGTAACAATATCGCAGGAAACCGGTAATAGAAAGTGATAAACTTGATTTATGTTTTTGTTTTTTTGTTTTGATTTGGGGACATTTCTGTCTGGTTGTTTAAGGGTAACATTGCTTTAAAATAGATCAGTCAGTACTGGCTTGTTCGTCATGTTAGTCATTCTCAGTCATTCTCAGTCATTCTCAGTCGGTCAGCTGGTCAGTCGGTCAGTTATCTAAGTGTTACACACAGTCTGGTCACCTTGCTTGGTGTGCATACAGGAGCTGGATGCACTGAGATATATGAGGAATTCATGTGAAATCAAGTCAAATGGATTATAAAGACCAGTGTGAGGGCAGGTGCTCATGTTTCTAGTATTGAGTGTTTTAAATTTGTAGTTCGTGACTTATGAGTTATTGAATGCTGTAAATACTTACAAAGTTTATAAGTATATTGTAGCACATTTGTATCGTATCATATTTTAAAAGAAGTTTGAATCCCTCCCAAAATCCAGTGACATTTTCTCCTCAGTAACATGTTTTCCACATCTTCCCTCTTCTTGACTCAATCACTGCATTGTGTGATTATTTTTTATGGAACTGTGCAAAATGTCATGAGGAGACAGGAGGAAGTCAACTAGTCAAATAGAACTACTGTTTGGCTCTGAAGGAGTTTCCAGTTTTCTTGGAAACAGCATAAAAAATGAGGACATTATATTTTGCACAGAACTGCCATTTTGACGTAAAGCCTGAAAGACTTGATACCATAGTAGTCTCAAACAGAAGAAGCAGAGAGTAGAAGAGACGTAGCTGGTGCCAGCAGAGTCAGAGTCAGAGAGTGGGTTAAAGTGGGCATCGCAATAACAATTTCAGAAGAAGACAGAAGAATGAGACATTTCGACCAGTTTTTTTTTTTATATTTATAATTATAATGCCGCAGATATACCATAGTCATTGATCAGATGAATGTGTTTCATTATACAAACTTCATAACAAATTGCACAATTGTGTATCTAGCCAAAAAAACATAGTCTGGCATGAAATACATTTTTGTTTTTTTCTAATTTTGGACCCCACGGTTCATGCTTTGGAGAAGACTCCAAAGAGTTTCTTTCAAAAGCCTGCAACAGTGACAGTGAAAAAAATCCTCTGTTAAACTGGCCAAACAGTTAATGGCAATGTACCAAGACTTCTGTCTCTCTAAATGGATACAAATCTGGTAATGATGGCTGCATCATCAGTCATACACTGAATTTGAGTTTCAACTCAACTCAGAAAATCCAAAAAACTGATAACAGCATCTTTTATTTAGTTGATATCATAATTTAAAATGAAAATGAAGTAGTGGAGGAAAGAAAGTTGTCATTTCATGAGCTGCACTTCGAGCAACATAAGCTAACTTTGTAATTCCAACTCAGTTGCACTCATCTTTTACAGCAACCCTAGCTGGACAATAACCCAGAGTCCCAGCATAAAAACATTAATTTATCTTTTGTCATTTTTGTCCTAAAATGGTTTGAAATCAGTGTAGCCCGAACCATAATTGCTGACTTCTGTTTAGAGCGTGTTGTTTTGGGTCAGTGCTGTACTGTGATTTTTACTTTCTGTTTATTACTGTTCTGTTTATTTTCTTCACCGTTTACATTCTCTCTTGGTTCAGGTGTGTGGAGTGTTGGTGGGCTGGAGGTGTCAACAGGTAAAGTGTCTACAGTTGAAGCAATGAATGGCTCCACAGTTCTGCTGCCCTGCACCTACTCCTCCTGTATTGGCATCAAAAACCTCTACTTCAACTGGCACTATAATGACAATGGAACCATGCTCAAGGTACAATGCACATACACATGCATACACACACACACATACCTGTAATAGCAACATAGAGATGCTTTGGATACATTTAAGCATAGATAACTTATCTGTTTATATCTACGTATGTACAAACGTGTGTGTGTGTAGTTATGTGAAGCAGAGATCCCTATGGAGGGTGTGGAGCCCAAGGTCTTTGTGTTCCGTGAACGTGTGGAGTTTGTCGGCTCCTCAAAGAGCAACAACATCTCCATCCTGCTGTGGAACATCACCTTTGAAGACCAAGGAGAGTACATCTGTTTCGCCAGAAACCCAAAAGAGAAGAACCGCAACCACAGTGCTGTCTTCACTCTTATAGTGGTGGACCAAAGTATGTGACAGATACACACACTTGCATACACTTGGCACACAAAAATACAACTTTATATGACAGTGCTTATGCTCTTAGACAGATACAGAACCTAGGTCTTCTCAATCTTGTTAACTCTTTCTCCACATTGTTTACATCATCTCCCTCTCCTTGTCTTTCTCTCTCACAATGTGTTTCCCTTCTCTTTTCAGTGAAGGAGGTTGACAACACTTTGACAGTCATCATTGTCTCAGTGCTGGGTGGAGTCATTGGCTTAGTTATCATTGTCATGGTGATAAAGGCCTTGGTTGTTCACTTCCTGCTGAAAGATGATGAGAAGAAGTGAGTAAATTCCTGACTATGGTCATAAGGACAGTAATAGGCTAGTTACCAAATATATTCCTGCTGATACTTGCTACCTGTACATAGTAATCTTTGCTCTTTTACTTTTTCATTTCAAATATTGTGATAATTTTATGTCCTTGGCTGTGTTTCTATGTAAATTATCGGGGTTGACCAACTGAACTGATGACAGTAATAATGTTATAGTGACAAATGACAGTGTGAACTGCAGTAATGTGACTATTAATCTATAAAATGACTATTAATATTATTAGTAAAAAAGGTTTTTAACGCTGTTTACAAACAAGTCCACTCATTCCCAATTATGATCTACAGATCATTGCTGAAATAATGACAAAAATAGCACTTTTCACAATTTGTTACAACATCGGCTCCCTTCATTTATTCAACCTCAGCGTCTTCTTTCTGTCACATTGTGACAGTGGCTATTAACATACTCTTCAGAAACTTACTTTATACGAATGTGAGTGTAAACTCAGACAGCAGAGCTTGCATCATCACGCTGTGAAAACTCACAACGAGAGACACAGATCAGTAAGGAGTACAAAATGATCTTCAGTAATGTGACTAAAAATAGAATCATCCAAATGTCTTAATTTGATAATGCCTACTATGATTGCATTTGGATTGAAAAAAAAGTTTCATGGCCATTTCTAAATTAAAATGGCATCTTAATTTGGTTAATATGAGACTATTGTTGGCCATGTTGAAAAGGGACATTTGCTATAAATGTGAAAATTTTTAACTCACATAGCTGCAAATCCATCATAAAAATAATGTTTGACTACTCAGTGAAGATTGCAGCTAATAAAACAACAGCCAGAAAAAACAAGACTGTTTATACTGTTTATTTGTCTTTTCAAATCAATCACAGTTGTTATGTCAATAGTGAGCTGCAAATCATTCAGTACATCTATTAATGAAATATCATACATATCTATGATCCATATACAGTATACAAAATGTTATTAATAATGTGAGAATGGTAAGGCTTTCAATTAACTTCTTTGACATGTGTTGAAGTAAAATCTTAATTACATATTCCCAATTTGTGTCCAACACAAGATTATTATTTGAGGCTATGAGGGTCAGGCTATGCAAAATCCCTGCAGTATATATATAGAGCCCTTATCACTCTTTAGTTCCTCCCACTACAGGTGTACATCTTAACCTCTGGTTTCTCTGTGCCCTGCAGTAAAGAGTGCCTGGTGAGCTCCTCAGGGAATGACAACACAGAAAATGGACTTTCAGGAGCCAAAGCGGACAACAAAGGGACACCAAAGGCATGAGCAAAATGCAAAGTATGTCTGTATGTTTGTATATATGTTAGACAAATGTACACGCTCAGAGAAAATGCTGTTAACAGTGGACTGTTTTATCTTACTAGTGGCTAACTAATACAACATGTAAATGTCTCTTTTAAATCATGCTTGAGATTTGGGAAGTGTGAGATGTGCATAGGCCTGGATCACTCCCTCACTTACATAGCAGCCCATTTGTTACAGTGTACAGCCTCTGTTATCAAATTTTGCTTTTCATCTTACAGAAATTCACTTACTCTACAGATCAGCCTCATGTATTACATATATATATATATATATATATATATATATATATATATGTATGTATAAGGCTTAATTTGGAATGTATAGGGCTGGTGTTATTCACAACTTCAATTCAAACTTGAACCCAAACAATCCTGACCAGTGGCAACACGCACACTTTGATATCATGATGAATTGCCATAATCTATAAACTGCCATGTCAACTGGAAAACAGCACACAACTGCTGAAATGCTTTTTTGTAACCCTCAAATGACACTGACAAATGAAAACTAACAGATATACATTTACTTGCTCACTATTCTTGTGAGTAACTAGCTAAACTGCTGGCTTTCTGGAGGTCTTTAAAGCTATGTTTTCCGGATCTTTTTGATCTGATCTAACCATTGACCTTGATCTCTGCCATGCCAGCCTGAACTTTAACTTCATCAAGTTTACTGCTGGTTCCAGGTTTGACACACTGTCAGGATGTGCTTGGTTCATTAACGGCTAACAGCAGATTTTGATCAACTACTGGCAAGCTAAGGCTGACAACTGGGCTGCCTTCTTAGGTGACTAATAGTATCCAGTTCTGCACAGGATTTATTGTTTTGCTTTAGATGAAACACAGGTGCCTGTTCTGCTTCTGCTCCCTCTGCTGGTGGGAGGATAAAAACACAAAAAAATTATAAAAATATTACCAACCCTCACCCTCATCAAAGACAATCCCCAGACTACCCAGCTCCCTATAGAAAGGAATGAACTTAATCATGCTGCTTCTTACTAATAACCAATGCATTTTTAGCATGTGCCGCATTTTATATAATGTCATATAAGTATATGTTGTCAAGTACCACAGTACAGGAACCTTTATGTGTGTCTCTGTATGGCCCCATTTAACCCTTCACATCCACCTCAACTGACTGAAGCTCTGTCAATGCCGATAAGCACCTCCCAACACTGCTATAACTTTTCTTACCCCTTTAACCAGGTCAGGGTGATTGAAAGGTGACTCCTCTTTTAGAGTAATGGCCTGCAGGTGTTTGTGGGAAAAGAAGGGTGACATTTTACACTTACTAAACCGGAAGAACTTTTAAGTATCTTTAAATTTTAATCATCCAGTTGAAAAACTCTGCCAGAGAAGTTTATGAGGTTGGCACTTTGTTCGCATCAGCAGGATATACTGTAAGTGGGGAGAGCAACACACATATGCGGTTCTCCGGATAGCAATTCACTTTTACATTTCCACATTTGTATGCAGATTCTAACTGGCTCTGATAACCGAAAACTTTAACAATACAGTACACATACATGCATTTTTAATTATGTTAAAGAGTCCAAATACGTCCGCTGATACAGCCTCTGTAATACAGGTAGCACAGCATTGGGACAGATCACTGCAAAAGAATGTAAAGACTCTGTCAGGGAATATATGTTAAATATTGTCCAAAAAGTATATTTTAATTCATTACAAAAATAATAAACAATGTGTTAGTGTTATTATAAAATGAATGTGTGAATATCTTAATAGGCCAGTAGGTAATTTTTCTTTGCCAACAGTCTTGGTCTCTGCACCTCTACAACCAGCCAATACTTTCAGTGTTTCACTCAGTTCAGAGTTCAGATCAACCAACAACTACTTCCTGTGACTGTATTTAAAAACATAAGGCGCTGAAGATTATAAGATGTTTATTGTGAGTTTCTAAATAGTACTAGTGTCTTAGCACTAAAAACTTAACTATTCAAGAGTTTGGTGGGAGCTGAGAGTTGTTGGGAGTAAATTGACAAATATATATAGTATTATAGTATAGTACTATATATACTATATATAGAGTAAATTTAAACAGTAATCACATTTTGTTCAAGAAAAGAAAAAGTCAACAAAGTCTTTATAATATCACGTCTGTACTTAATCCTGTGATAAATCAACAGGGATGAACTTAGTGCTAAAATATCCACTGGAGACTAGAACCTTTCTATGTGACTCTCAGTATTAGAGGTCACTTCTGTGAAGCTGGCAGACATGATCTGCCACACCCGTATACATAGCTTGAATAGCTATGACAGCTGAAAGCTACTCACAAACATACGCACACACATATATGCCTACACGTGTAACTCAGATACCAAGAGTCACTTTGATACCAGAGAGTAGTATACTGGCCTTGCATACAAACAATACAGCACTTTACCACTGTTCAGAGTGGCTGCACAAAACAGCAAATCATGGGAAAGATTTCACAGTCATCGTTCTTTTATAATATATTACGAGAGTTAACAAAAAACAACATTTTCAAATTGTGTTTGTCATGTTCGACTGAGCACCTGACAAAAGCATTATGTCAAAATGGTTTTAGCATTGTCTGACTACATGTTATCTCACTGGAATAGAGCTCTATGGGAAGATTTTATCTTATTTTTCTAACTGTTCACTTCTGTCAGCCTGCTGCCCTCTAGTACTGGAGTGCATTTCCCTTCTTGCTTTCAATGGAAGCAATATGACAGACATCAGATTATGCAATAAACTGTTATAAGGCACTTTAGATGTGTCTGGACTGGCTGTGATGGCAACTCTGTCTGTCCAAGGCACTGTTCATTGTACGGTTGTATTTATCTACACTGGAGTAATGTATCTCAGTTGGATCGACATTAGGTTCATATATCTACATTAGACAGATTTAACGGCATTGGATCAATCTATATCAGATCCCATTTACACTTGGCATAAAATTCCCTGAGCAGATGGAAGATACATCAAGACGAGCTAGAGCTTCAGGCTACATTATAAAACACCTCTGACTCCCTTGTATTGACCGAGGACAACTCTACAGTCAATTTCTGATAACCTATGTCTGTAATGGAATGTTCATATTCATCCTAATACGAAAAAACCTAAATTATGTGACCAAATACACAAAAATCAAGTAGGCTAAAAGACCACTGACAAAACTCAAAACAGCTGCTCATGGGAAATTTATGAAAATAGTCCTAATGTTCTTGTGTCTATATTGGCCCATGTGCACCTAGTTGTTTCATGAAACTTATATCCAGAGTACATTCTGATATAGTATGTAACCATACTACATCACAGCACAGTAAATACAGTATGACTGCCACCTAGTGGTAAATGCATCAAATAATAATCTCTAGCAGAAGCTGATGAGACACCATGTGCTTATTGAATTTTTATAAAGACTATAAAGGGTTGCATAATGGAAAACAGTGTCAATTACAACTAAAATTATAATCTTATGCAACTGAGTGACAAAAATATTGCAACCCTTTTCACGTCTAAATTTCTGCTGGGTTCCAAAGAACCTGACTGAAATCTGACTGCTGTTTGCCACCTATAAAATGCCATTCAAGACAAACAATGTCCTGTGTCCCTCTCGGCACTTGTGATTTACAATTTCATGGTTTGCATTCTTATTTGATGGACTGATAGGACTTTTAGTTGCCATGAATGGCTTGGAGAGACATATGGATTTACTTGAAAACAATTTGAATAAAATGTGTCTCAGACAACATCCTGAATTGGTTCAGGTAATTAGATTTCATCAAGTATAGAGATAGAATGCAGATGCTTAAGAAGCATGAAACAACACAGGTTAAAATGGGCCACATGTTGGTGTCAAATGTTGCCCATTGGACAATTTAAGTGTATTTCAATTGGAATTTTATTGGTAGGTATAAATGGGATCAAGGCTGATCAATGTTCATAGAACTGAGGTAATATCTGATATGTGATGTACTACTGTGAGTGAAACCTGTAATAGCTACTAACATTGTAACTGTGCAGGGTTAGAAGTGATACAGTATCCTTGTTGTGTTGTAAAACTGTGAATGTTATGAATATGGAAGGAAGCACTACACACACACACACACACACACACACACACACACACACACACACACACACACACACACACATACACTTGCTTCCTCGTCTAACCAGTCATGTGCAAATCCCTCTGTAAAGAGGGTATATATGTACATCCAAAGTCTTCCTGTAGGGAAAAGCAATACTGTGGAGTTGATCTGTCTGTTACTGTACTTTTCTTCCTCCATACCTTTAACCCTGATATAGCATAGCAAATAGGTGGTTTCATGTAGGGATTGTGATGCATAACATGTATATTTGTGAGTTCCCATTCATTGGTCCCCATTTTTGTCTGTAATCCCTAACCAGATTTTTCTGTTTTTCTGGAGTGAGGCCCATTAACCCTGCCTTACAGTTTCAGGAGATTCTTTCTGATCTATGACTTGCTCTTACTGTATGGATTTATTTCCCTTAAGTAAAACTATTGACAAAGTGACAAAAAAAACACCATATCAAAAGGCATGTGAGGAGGGCATAAGAGTGATGTTCTGTTTTAATGAAGGCCAGGTACAGTATCTATGTGACAAATAGGATAATTTTACCTGAGTTCATGTATGAATGCAGTCTAGATCCAGTTGTGGAAGGGCTGCCTTCTTAACCCCATCAAATTGTACTGGGTTATGAAACCACCAAAAGCAATGGCTGTTTTAACTTTTAAAATATGATTTTTGTTTTCTCCCCACTACATTCTGACCTGCATGTCTTTCTCCAAGAAATCTTTGCCCTGAACCGAACATGAGTTTTGATGTCAGCCAACTGCTTGCAGTGATTGCTGCAGTACTGAGTCTGCCCTGAACAGTGTCGAATTTTCCTCTGCAGGGATGCAGTACAGCACAGTAATACAGAATGACTGCCACCCAGTGGTGAATGACAAACACATCAAATAATCTTACATCTAGCAGAAGCTGATGAGACATACAACATGTGCTTATTGCAGTTTAATTCAGACTTTAAGGGTTGCATAATGAAAAAAACAGTGTCAGTTACAACTAAAGCTAAAACTATAATTTTATGTAACTGAGTGATAAAATCATTGCAACAGTTTTCACACATCAATGTATGACTATAAATAGTATTGAAACTGATGCTGATCGCTTTACATATAACTACTAGTTTATAAATATGCATAATTTAATCCTTGTGCCCATTTGGTGTTTTAACTACATTTAATACGGGGTGAACCACAATGCATAAGTTTACACAGAATCTATTAGGAAAAGGATACATGAAACAATTTGTAGAAACATGGATTCTTCAAGAAATGGCTCCTAGTTGACAGCTATAGTGAGCTTAAAGAGTCACAGATAGTCGCATTTTTCACAAAAATAACAAAGTGTTGAGAGTTCTGACTGACCACTATGATTCCTTAGAGTTAGTATTGCTCTTACTGCCAGAGCGGCTGAAACTCATACTGCCAGTCCAAGAGTCTCATGTCTGCTGTTGTTATGACACTATTACAATGACACTCAACTCACTTTGTACACTTACACTATTAAAACATATTGTATTACGGTCTTCAGCTGTATTGATGGCATTTCAGTACTAAATTGTATATGATATTGCTCTATACTACTTATGTATTTCTAGCAGCTGAAACTCACACTGCCAAGCCAAGAGTCTGACGTCTGCTCTCTGCTTCCCACATTCCACACAGATCAAAAGATCAAACCACTGATCTAATGTTGGTTTAGTTGAGCAAAAAGGTTAATTTTACTACAATCCTGATGCAAGACAGTTATACATAAATGAGATTAAATAGGAGCAATATGTTCTTATTTTGGCTCAAATGCAATTGTTTCCATTGTGAGAATTTTGAGATAGCTAACAAAATGGTGAAAACAAATTATTGTTAGCAATGCCAAACTATGATGCATATTGTGACATATTGTGTGTCAATATTACATCACAAGCCTAGCAAACTGCCTCCTCTAACTCTTAAAAGAGATTATTTTACAGACCAAGGCTAGCTAGCTACAGATTTGAATTATAAGCACAGACTGACACTGACCTCTCCACCTTTTCTCACTGCAGTCCTGCATTTGAACAATTTCAACAATATTTTTTACGCATCTAGCATCTGAAAATGTAATTATATCTTAACCCAAATAACAAATTCATATCTACACATCTTATCTTACGCTATATAACTCCACTAATGGTACACAAATAATAGTACTTTATAGTAGGTTGAAATCTTGCAGCAAATTCCTATACTTTGCTTTCATCAGTACAGTCCATTCAACACACTCACACACACAAAACAAATCTGCAACCCCAGGTTTCCTGGATCAACTTTTCTCTGAATGTTCAGCTGTTTGTCTGTGTTGTGACCATGTTGCTCATGCTCCCTTCATGACTATGCACCTCAAACTTTTGACTTGTTAAAAAAATACATACTGAAAATAAAATGTTGATTCCCAGAGCGTTGCTGAGTCTCATTTGTTTCTTTATCCAACTTTAGAGAATGTTCCTTCATTCAGTCTCTTCAAGATAGATAGATAGATCGATAGATGGATATTTTATTTATCCCCTAGGGGAAATTCATGTGTCCATTAGCTCATTGTTGATAATAATAAAAACAGTTAATAATAGATAAACAATAATAATTAGATTAGTCCACTTCCTTTGGCTGAGGTGTTGTATAGCCTGATAGCAGTGGGAACAAAGGATCTCCAGAACCGCTCTGTTCTGCAGCGCAGTGAGATGAGATGTTTGTTGCACCTGTAGCTGCTTCTCTGTACGACCAGAATGTTGTGGAGAGGATGGTTGGTATTGTCTAAGATGGCCTCTATCTTACATTGCATGCATCTCTCCACAACAGTCCTGAGTGAGTCCAGACTCCTGCCAAGCACAGACCCAGCCTTTTTGACCAGCTTGTCCAGTCTCCTTGTGTTCATGTTGGACATGCTGCTGCCCCAGCAGACTGCAGCATAAAAAAGTACAATGGCCACCACTGACTGATAAAACATGTGCAGCATTTCACTGCAGACGTCAAAGGACCTGAGCTTCCTGAGGAAAAAGAGCTGACTCTGCCCTTTCCGGTAGATGATCCAGTTTACTGTACAGGTGAACACCTAGGTATTTATAAGTGCGCACCACCTTAATGTCCTTCTCTTAAATGTTGACTAGCTGAAGGGCGGGCCTAGACCTCCGAAAGTCGACGACCATCTCCTTGGCCTTGGAGGTGTTAAGAAGGAGGCAGTTCTTGTTGCTCCATTCACTGAAGGCTATCGTCAGATTCCTGTACTCCTCTTCCTGCCCGTTCCTGATACGCACCACAATAGCTGTGTCATCTGAGTATTTCTGGATGTGGCAAGACTCAGAGTTGTATTTAAAGTCCACCATACACAGAGTGAGCAGGAGTGCTAATCAATACTTGCACCATAATGATTCCTACAAAGACAATAAATCAAAAAATTTGAGTGAAATTCACAGATAGCTTTTAAAGTCTAGACTAAAGTTGGCTGGCATATTAATTGAATGGGAAATAAGATAGTGTTCTTTGATTCCTGAAAAAAAATTCACTGTGGTAGATTGGTGCAAATATCAAAATTAAAAACTATTTTACTACGGTTTGCAGTAGTTATGCTAGTTCCAACATCGTACTCACTCATCACTTACACCAAGCAAGATTCTCTCCACCTGCAGTTGTTCAGCCACATCTGTTCGTTTGGGATGGAGAAAAACAGCCATTCTCAATTCTCTCCAAATATCTCAATTTAATGCCAAAGAAGAAGTTACAACTGCACAACTGCACAACTGTTTTTGTTGCAAAGCATCTGCCCTGTTAGCCTTGGCTGTGTCTTATTCAAAAACACAATATGATAAGTAAGTGGGGTGACATAAAAAGCCAAACTTCCAACGCCAAAAATAACAAATTTTGTGCTCCTATTCACATATGTTATGTTGGTAATGGTCACATAAAATGTCCCAAATGCCATTTTCTGTGAGGCAGTCAGACATGTCGGGAAAAAAACAAAAAAATAACCGCAAACTGATTCTCATGTGCTATGGCAATAGCTAATTCATGCCTCTTTCCTGCTTAACCCGTTTAGAAAAGAAAGCCAAAGCCTGCTCATTAATTTTATCCTCTTAAGTTCTCACATCCCCATCTGTCATATTGTGTCATGTCACGCATGACGGATGGCATAAATGTGTATAATCAGATGGTATGTTAGATCTACTGAATTTGTATTAATGCGACTTGTAAAATAAAAAAATAAAAAACTAAAACAATGGAAGACCTAATCACTATCACTAACTGTCACCAATGCCCACTGCGGAACTTAATGACAGGTCAAAACATCATTTAACATAAACACAGGGCTTCCATATATGTTCACCTAACTTCTGGCACATTGTGTATTTGATAAGACAATTTGACCAGTTTCCATGATTGTCAGTGAATAGATGAGATAATATAAAATAAAAAGGATGTCCGGGTGGTTATTTTGGCAAATGATAAATCAACATCACCATTCCCTTAAATTGAGGAACATGTGATTATCAGCTAGCTCGATACAGCCACCTTGTGGAGGTTTCGTAGAAGTGCGCAATGTTAGTTCCTGCCATTGGAATCTGCTGCAGTCAACATAATTTCGGTCGACACATGTATTACAGTTTGCTTGGTATTTTTGTGATCATACTCTGAATTTCCTTCCTCAAATCTAATGAAACAGAGCTAGCTGATATTGCCATGAACAAACATAGGCAATCACGGAGAAAAAACGACCATACTTTTACAAAGGTGGCAAGCGATAACTGCGGCGTCAGTATGACGACATTTGAACCTTTTCAACCGAAAAAGAAAGAAAGAAAGAAAGGAAGGTATTAGTTGTTCCCGCCCGGTTTCGAACCGAGGACCTTTCGCGTGTTAGGCGAACGTGATAACCACTACACTACGGGAACTAGCTGCCACATTGTCGTGGTAGGCCCAATCAGCAGGATATTAACTGATGAATTTATAGGTTTATTTGACCTGAAAATTGTTAGTACGGCAAATTGTTTTAATTTAGAACCAGAAGTAAAGGTATCCTGCATTTAAATATGTTCTTTGTTAACAGGATAAGCAGAACTCTGGTGATTGTAAAAAGACGGTAAAGAGACTGCTCTTTAACATAACTGGACCATAGAGCCTCTGACTAGTGTGCACATTAAACACATGGATCCAAGAGCTGTTTAACCATTTATTTTGTTCAGGAAATTCAGCAAAGAACTGACGGTAGGACAATGGGTGGATGATTTCTTCTGTACAACAAACAAAAGTAAATACCTTGCATACCACAAAAATAATAAAGAAAGGGTAACTAAAACATCTTACATTCTTAATGCATCCAAAGGAAAAAACAAATCTCTCTGAAACATTCACCAGGGTCCTGCCTATCCTGTTGACAAAGGACATATTTAAATACAGGATACAACTTATCTACTTCTGGTTCTAAATTAAAACAATTTGCCTTACTAGCATTGTTAATTAAAATTAATTGAAGGTAAACACAATTTGAAAGAAATTAACAATGAATAATATCAAAAAAAGGATATTAGTTTCCAGCATCTTACTGGTGTGGGAGCATGGTCTCTAACAGATGGATTTCAATTGTACACACCCAGTGCTTTTTTAAACTCCCCTATGCAATCTCCACCCACCCAGTTTGACATGTCAGCTTGAGATTTTGGAACAATAATAGAGTACAACACAATATAATAGAATATATATACTTTTTCAGCTGTAGCATCTGTTTTCAGAGAAATAGCTGTAAAAAGCCACTGTCTACTATGTCCTCAGAAGCAAGCAGCAGACAGACAGTCAGAGAGTTGGTGAACGTAGTGGAGCATTTAGAAGCTTAAGAGACAGATTTCCCTCAGGGGGGACCACCAAGTCCTCATGGTCCCTCTGGACCACGTAGCCACTGGGTGAAGACAGCAGAGCTGGTTGCAAATGGCCTCCAACAGGCGGCTGGCACTGGGCCAGTTTGCTGGATGCGGAGAGAATCCAGCAACGGGACGTCCAGGGTGACATGGTGATCCAGACAAGGAGGGCCATCTCCTCTGCCCCATGTATCCTCCTCTGACAGTGGAGCCGCCACTCCTCCTACGAGATCCGCTGGATCACCTCAGAGTCAGTCAGGCCAAACATCCTGTGCTTCCCATACAGCTGGGACCGCTAGGCACCTCCAGGGTCCACCTTAAAGATGCGGCCTCATCAATCCAGCCACCATCCTGGAAAGGCCCTCAGAGCCCTTGGAGCAGGTGAGGACGCTGATAAACACCTGGCCCGTACTCGATACCAACATTGGTAAGCCAGGCAGCCGTGTCAGAAGCAGCACCAGCGAGATTCTTTTTTCACCTGGACAGAAAAAGTTTCAAATGTTAATATTTGTGTGTGAATTTAATACACACACAGCTGTGTTGTAAAAGCAGCTGTAACAACATAATAAACTCTGATAAACTTTACTTGCCTTCTTAACGCTTATGCTAATGCGCAAGCTAGCTGCCAAGGGAAGCGGCTAGCTTGCCCCCAGTGGGCCATGCACCCAGCCAGCAAGCTGCAGCTGGGGAGGTGGCTAACCATGCGCCCACTTAAACAAAGACACAGGGAAAGAAATGCTTTTGTGGATGTCTGTATTAGTGACAAGTATGAATTTTGATCCTTGTAACTTCAGTGTCACATACTGTGGTAACTTTTGACAAGAGTTTTACAGTTTTCTGCTCTGTATCAGGACAGATGTTAACAAAACCATTTCCTCTTTTTCAGTGTCTCAGTTTAACTTAAACACTGATCATTTGTTCAGTTTTGATTCAGACAAATACAAATCTCTTTGCCACAAGCACAATTTTTTCATGTGCACAAACTTGAATTTCGCATGCAGATTTATTTTACAGGTTTACAAAGGTTGATTTACAACTACAAACATTGGAATCATTTGTGAACATCACTTTACAAGCTCAAAATCATTTTGACCCTAATTTGAGCCTATATATGTATGGGTTGGAGTCATGCGCATGACTTACCATTTCTTGCTGGTTGTGGGAGACCATGAGGTGCAGTACCAGCCTAAGTTGGATTCTGGCATCCCATTGAAAACACAATGATAATCGTATTAAAATAAAATGACTTTCGGTTCCAAGGTGAACAAAGACATTTTAAGGAGCTCTTCTTTTGACTATGTTATGGTTTTGAAGAAATGTAAGGACATAAAAAATTTATCAATCATTCATTTAAACCTCATTTAGCATATACTACAAGTAGAAAAGTATGAAAATTTACTAGTATAAAATGTACTTATCAGTAGCTACAGCTAACAACAGCTTTTAAAAAGATCTGCTGCTAAACTAACATACATATGTTGACACCACATTTCTCAGCATAAACAGGTTATATTTAACCTTACATTACTTGGTTGTGGTTTAAATGGTAGTT